TTAAACACCCCTCCCCCCCCCCCCCCTCCCCCCCCCCCCCCCCCGCCCAAGGGCTCCCTGAACAATTGTGAAATGAGATCTCTATCATTTTTATTAAAAGCTGTACACAAGGCATCACCATTAGGCTGGATGGGAGGAGGGAAGGGGGGTAATTCCCTTATGGCTCCCCTCTTCTTCCCCCCCCAGTTTAATTCATAGTGGTGGGATGCAAAAGCTCCCCAGAGAGTGATGGATAGTGGGAAATGAAGAATATGAAGGAGCTTTATTGAACCCATCAATCTCGGGTGAGTCTGCTGTGATCAAAGGCCCAGCCTGTTTCGGCAGAGGTTATGTGGAGGAGCAAAGAGATCAGGTTTCGGGAAAACGCAGGGCACTGAGGGGCTGCGAAGCCGGCAAGCTCCTGGCTCGGCCCTGGCCAAAGGAGCCAGCGCCTGCTGAGCAGGGTGGAGAGCAGTGGCCTTGCCCTGGCTGGGGATTCTGATCCTGCTGAGGTTTTGGCATACCTGCCTCCCCTCCATTGGGACACTGGCATCTGCAGCCTGGGCAGGAACAGGGGCTTAACTCTTCTCCATGCTGTGGTAAGGCTGAAGACCCTCATTGCATGCTTCTCCCCAGCTGAAATGTACATCCACAATGAGGTCTCTCCTCCAGCACAGCACCAGCCCTGTTGGCCAGGGCAATAAGAGACCCATTGGGGCCCAGGCTTGGATGTCTATATGTCACACCAGCAGGCCTTGTGCTGCCATGGCTTGCCTGGTGGTATCCATCAGATGGGTTGGAGGCTCTGAAGCACCTCCTGATTTCTCCAGACCATTATGGATGGTGACCAAGATGTTGCCACTCTGCTTGGTGGACCACAAGAGGGGACCTTTCCCTGGAGCAGGATAGCATCCATCTCATGAACATGAGCGGGCTGGGCTGGAGGATTTGAAGATCACCTGGTGCTGGGATAGTGTTGACCCACCTTGGTCCCATACCCAGCCAGAGATGGGCAGCAAAGCCCTGGGGTCTGGGTGTGCATGATACTCTGAGGAAGGATGTGCTGGAAGGGGAGCTGACATGCCACCCGGGGAGCTTGGTCTCGTGATGTTGCTGCCTGGCGCAGATTCAGGCTGTGGCTTGCCCGGCGGGGCTCCCTGACAGCTGTACATGCCTCTTGCTGGGCTTTTCTCTCCTTTCCTTCCTGCTTTTCTGCGGCCGCCATGTCCCCAGGTGGTTGAAAATCAGGGCATTGGCAAGGTGGCATCCGCTGGCTTGTTTGGAGGTGGGTCATATGGGGCAATGCTGCTAGGCTGGTGGGTAGGTAGATCTTGCTTTCTGCTGGTTGCCCTTCTTTGGGTGATGCCACGGGGAAGTGAGAGGGGCATGGGCAATCCCACGGTGGCTTTTGGAGCTGGTCCTTCGTCCGAATGTTTCTTGGCAGGGGAAACAGCATCCCCAGAGGGAATGGCATCCCCAGGGCTGGCATAGCTCACTTTACCTACCTAAACCCCAGCCCCAACTTCCAAGCCCTGCCAGCCTTCGGTGACCCCACAGGAGGGGAAAGGGGCTTGCAGACGTGTGTGTGTGCACTGCAATGAACTTTACAGGCGCCTTCTACCTTTTTACGGAGTGCTACATTCCTGGGAGGTGAGGTCAGAGCTGCTTCCCTGTGCAGGCGAAACCAAGGGATGGCTGGCGAGTCGATACCTTGAGGCTGGGACGTGCACTGCGTGGGTCGAGGATGGGGCCTGGGGTCCATTTGAGTTGGATGCTCGCCTGGGGCTGGTGGGCTCTGTCCTTCCTCTGCTGGAGCCTGTGCTGGTGGGGAGCGGGATGGTGGTGGCACCCTGACATGGACCAAATGCTGGGGTGGGGGGGAGCTGCTTTCTAGCTGAGTTTTGGTCCTCTGAGAAGGGAGATGAAGGTCCCAGGCCTCATGTCCTGACCTAGAGGGACTCCCTGGAGGGGACCCAAAACCTGGCTGGGGATGTGATATCCAGTGGAGTAACAGGCCGTGGGGCAGTGTGGCCGTGGTGGCAAGTGCCACTTGTCCATCCAGAGATGGGGCTGCCTGCAGAGCCACAGCCCTGATTTGGGGAATCTCTTTGAAGCTGGCATGCTATATCCATCACAGTCCCTGTGAACACCAGCTGTACAAACAGCAGCCCAGAGCAAAGCTGCCGGCTTAGTCATCTGTTTCCTACCTGTCCCCTCAGAGGCACTGAGCAGCCTTGGGGGGTTTGGTGATGTCCCTGAGCTGTGGGATGAGGTGTCCTCAGGTCCTGGGCTGCCTCCTGGGGCTTGGAGGCTGCACTGAGCACCACTGCCTGGCATTTGGGGACATCTTTGGGCACTGCGTTTCCAATAGCAATGGTAGATGAGGCACGTTGCAGCTTGTGCGATGTAGGTCTGGGACAGCAGAGGAGGGTGTGGGGCTGTCTGGGCCAAAGTCATCAAAAAGTAATGGGGAGAACAAGAAATGAGAGCTTGTTGGGTCTGGCACAGTGACAAATCCTTCTTCTTTTTTATTGCTACAAAGGGAGAGGGGCTGAGGTTTCCTCACGGGGCTGGGGGAGGCTGGATGCTGTGTGGGGCATCTGGTGGCACAGAGGGACATCAGGGACACGGGTCACAGGCTTCCCAGCCGTGGTGAGATCTCATCCCCGCTTTGCCAACCAGCCTGTGCTGCCAAGCCCAAAACTTGACCCTTGTGCTGGTTTTCGAGTCATTGGCGTAAAAGCTGTTAAACAACCCAAACAAAGGCTCCGAGTCTATCAGCATCCCGCGGCGGGCAGGGAGTGGCTGGGGGATGATTAGGTGTGTCCTGAGCACTGGGGTTGTGCGGTGGGGGGAGTCATCCCTTCTCCTTTGCTCCAAGTCCAGATAAAAGCTGGATCCTTGGAGGCATAGCTGGATTTTGAAGGCTCCTGGTCCCCCCTGGCTGCGGGAGTGACCCAAGAAGATAAAGCCTCTTGGCTCAGTGCCTCCATCCCTGCATTTCCAAGAGCCCAGGAGGACCCACCTTGGGAAAGCCTGGTTGCTTTCTGCCTGCGGCTGCCTCTCGCCATCTCTCTCCAGCCTGTGGAGGGGGGAAGAAGACAGCCATGGCAGCCAACACCTCTGGTGGGATGCATGATGCTCCACTGGACAACGGCTTTGCTGGCACCGACGACCTTGTTTCTGACTGGTACATCTACGAAACCATGGAGCCAGCTGTGCCACAGGATGAGTAAGTGTCCAACCCCCCTGGTGGGTGCCACATATTCCCCTGTCCCTGCTGGGGTCACCCTGGGCAGCTGCCAGCCTCCTGCCCGGCTACTCTATCCCCTTTCTGTAGAGCGAGGTCCCCTGAGCAGCAGAGCCAGGATTTATTCCCAGGTGAGAGGGAGGTGATTAAAAAGGCTTGGTTTGGCCCCTAAAAATTCTCCATTTTTTTCCGATGCTTCTGGCAACAGCTGGGGTAAATCCTGCAGCACGCATCTCTGCTAGTTACACTCCCTTTTGCTTAGCCTTCCCCAAAATGCAAAGTCAAGTGCATGGTGTTAACCTGCTGCCCTGACTCCTCTGAAGCCCCCAGAGCCTTTGCTGGCCTAGAGAGGGCTGCTCTGGCTTCATGCTTCTGGGTTTGATGACATCCTCACGACATAGCCTTGCAAATTGGTTCCCTGCCTTAATCCCACCCCAGGTCTCTGCAAGCAGTTTTGCAAATTTTGGCTTGGGGTGAAGAGAGTTGGCAGCACACCCTGATCTACTGGCAGGGAAGCAGGGCTGGGGTGCTCAGCCAGGTCCCTGCACGGCACAGTGATCCTGAACAGGTTTCCGACCTGCAAAATAGGGCTGAGCATCCCTGGGCTTGCATGGATGTCTTCCTTCCCCCTGCAAATTGGTGTATCAGTGGGTCTTGTAAAGCCTATTCCCTCTCCATCCATGATGATCCGCTCTTTAATTGAGCCTATTCCCAAGAGCAGTGCTGTGTTTGCCCCAGGAATAGGACCCCAGGGCCCAACCTCGTAGCAAGGACCCAGCACTTCATGCCCTCCTAGCTGAGTGTCCTTCCCAAGGACAAGCGAAGTGCTATAGGAAGGGGAAACTGAGGCATGGAGCAGAAAGGCAATTTATCCAAGGTGTCCCACAAGGCTCAAAGCTGGGCATCCCAAGGCCCGTCTATCAGCATCTATTGTCACTCTGTTGACTTAGTTCTCTGCGCGTGGGTTTTATGCTGCTCAGTTGACTGATACCTAATCCTGAGGGCAAGCAGGAGAAGATCCCAGCGGTGATCAGCCGAAAGGGTTCCTCCTTGTCCTTAATCTTATGCATTGTGAAACAGCCTTTGAAATCTCCTTGCTCAGCCCCGGTTTCCCCAGACAAACCCCCACTTTCATGACCCACACCTCTGCTAGAAATATTTGGAGTATTTTCTGGGTGTCCTTTGCAGTAAGCCATGGTCCGTGAAGGGATGGAGGCAGCACTGGGGAGTTTGCCCATCTGACGGCTCCTGGATGCTCTGGATTTAGATGCTGAAGTCCTGATGATACCAAAAAGGGGTTTGGTATCCCTGTGCTCTCAACCTTGTGGGCGGGTGCCCTGGATTTCCAGAGCCTGGGTATTTTTGGACAGCAGGCATTTTCTGGTCTATCCAAGGCCAGCCGTTGCCAGAAAAAAAAAAAAAGGCAGAAATCAGAGCTTTGCTAATGGAAGATGGTCCTATAAAGCTTTTTCTGGCAGATTGGTGACAGCCTTGGATGTACGATGCCCGAGAAATCCTAATTTCACTATCAGACCCTTCCCTGCAGCCTTGCTCATAGGAGCTCTGCAGCTGGTCTGCCATCTCTGCCCACCCCATTGGCACTGCAGGGTTTGGGAGGGCACAAGGGCTTGTGTGGGGTCCCCCCTGTGAGTTACAAGGCTCAGGGGGTTCAGCTCCCCACCACAGGGATTTGCTGTCCAGTGTTGGGTGAAGGTGGCTGGGCACAATCGTGCCTGGCCTTGGGGAGAGGAGGAGGGCTGTGGCAAAGCAGAGATTAAGGGATGTAATGGAGGCCAGAGAGCAAATAAATAAAGCAAAGCCTGGCACGCCCACTCGGCTGGCCTTGGCTGGCAGAGGGATGTGGCGCTGGGACCCCATCCTGCACGTACCTACCCCAGACAGCCATCACCTCTGCCATCCCTCCAACTCTGGGGCTGATCCCTCTCCCATGGGAAAGGCGCTGAAACACCCTACAAGGGGTCTTCAGCCTCCCAGCTGGCATTTAATAAGTGCAGTGCCTTAGGCAGCAAGGAGAACTGCTGCTTTGCAGGCTGCATCCCTTGAAAAGACAGAGCCAGAATGGATATGGGTGTAAAAGAGGTAAAGGGGGGTTTCATCCTTCCTTGCTGATCTCCTGTTCAGTCTTGGCAACCCTGTATGTGCAGGGAGGTCGCCCAGCCCCTGCGGGGATCAGCTCGGGGCCACTCCTGGGAGTTATCTCTCTCACTTGATCATAAAGTCATCTCGTGAGGGTGATTTCACCCCTGGTTATTGACGGTTGTGTAACCCAGATCTTCAGAGGCTTTTCCCTTCTCAGCATCAGACCGAAATCTCTGCTGCCACCGTGTACGTGGGCATTACCCCAGCATCTTTGCTTTGTCCTTTTGGGACAAAATGCAACCACATATGATTTTTTTTCCCCCCTCTTTGTAGCATGTTTCCTACCGTAATCCCAGACTGCGACCCCACCATTTCTCCCAGACTGTATCACATCTGCATGGCACCCATCTCCGTAAGTACCTGCCAAGTCCTGCGGGGTGGGTTATCTGCCCCAACATCATATTTGCTGTCCCTCAGGTCAGGTCATGCCCACCTACTCCCAAATAACAGGTCTGGGCTTTTTAGCTTGAATGAGGTTTGAGCTGGGATGCTCTAACAAGGGACTCACATATTTCCAGACTTTGTTTTGTGCCTGTAGCCAATGGAAGGCTTTGATTTATTTTTATTTTTCCCAGCATGGTCCCTCTGAGGTGTTTAGAGCTCATCAGAGCAGGTTGAGAAGTGCCTGTCCCTGCTTCAGCCATGGCTGGATTTAGGGTGTTGGATGGAGACGATGTCTCCATGGAGGCCCCATCCCATAGCAGCATGTCTGAGCTCCCCACCCAGACCCCCCTATGTATTTATTGCTCCCTCAATTGGGTTTCTGGCAGCTGGCCGTGCTTGTGGGCTTGTCCTTGCTGGTGAAACGCAGGCGTCTCCACCGGAGCTGCTGGAACGGAGTCCCAGGACTGCTCAGGTACCCTGGCCCTTCACCCCGGTCCCCAGGGTCCCTGTCACCCTGCAGCCAAGTGGGTGGAGGGATGCTGAGATGCAGCATGGGATAAACCAGAGGATGGTGGGGACAGGTTGCCCGTGATACGGTGGCTCATCCCTTCCTTGGCTTGCAGCCCGGCCAACTTTCTGGAGGAGGAAGGCAACCAAGGGCTGGTGGCTGCGGTGTTTGGTATCCTGTTCTCCTCCCTGTGCGTGCTGGTCTTGGACAGGGACCCTCTGCCGCTCATCGCCCACTCCTCCCAGAGCAGCCGGGGTAAGATGAGCACCCTCCCAGAGTAAGGCGAGCACTCTCCTGGCCCGTGAGCACCACACTCCTCCCCACCCAGGATGCATGCAGCTTTGGGTGGCACCCTGAGCAGCCTGTTCACTCTGGTTTATACTGAGAGTGCTGCCTTCTCTTCCCTGTTTTGCTCTCCCTCCTCTCTTCCCACCATCCCATCTAGAGTACTGGAAGATCCTGGCTTTGCTCTACTACCCTGCCTTCTACTACCCCCTGATCGCCTGTGCCACTGTCCGGCACAGAGTCAGCTACCTCCTGGGCTGCCTGCTTTCCTGGTGCCACTGTGTGGTCCACATCTGGCAGAAGGTCGATTGTCCCCAGTCGCCGAAGGTACGTGTCCCACCACCTGGGGAAGGAGCAAGGAGTCTGGTGTGGCCCAGGGTTGGAGGTGACTTTCTCACCACCTCCTTGAAGTGATGTTAAGGTGTCACCTGCCCAGGACTAGACCCCCAGGCTGGGGTAGTCTCACATGTGACAGCTCTGCTTCTCCCCAGATATACAGGTACTACTCCACACTGTCTTACATCCCCATCATCATCTGCCTTGTGCTCTTAAGCCTTTGGTATCCAGCCCTGTTCATCAGGAGCTTCACCAAGGAGGAGGAGACTTTGGATAAGGAGGTAATGAAGATCCATGGGGTGACTCAGGGGGTGGTAGCATGGGAGAACCCCTTGATGGACCTGCATGGTTTTGGGAAGCTCTCCTGCTCCACAGCTCATCTGCTTGCCTGGGGGACGGGGAGAAATGGGGTGCTCCCAGGGCACGTGTTTGTCACTTTTCTCCGGCACCGGGAGCTGCCTCCCCTCCATCCCTCTGACGGCACGGCTCGTGGCTCTGTTTATCTCACTGGATTTGAAGATGGAGTGAAAAATCCTTCTTTGGAGTAAACTCCTTAGTACAAGAAGCTTAAGGCATCAATGCATCCCATTCAGGTCAGGACTGGGGTCACCTTGTTTTCCCAACAAGCTGGATAATCCCCGGCCCTTTGGGAAATGCCGGGCTTTGTTGGGAAGAGAGGAGGAAAAACCTACTTCAAAAAAAACCCCGTCAGCCCAAGCGTGGACTGAAGTGACCCCCAGGCGCTTGCTGGGAACTGGCTGGTGGGGATGAGGGTTTTCAGCTGTCCTACCGGTATGCCTGGTTTTGGGCTGCTTTGTTGATGGTAACAAGGCAGATTTATTTCCACCCTTGCGGTGCTGGAAGATTTGCTGTCAGTATTGCTCCAACACATTGGTTATCCGAACAAGGGCTGGGAGCCCATCACTCACATCTCGTACAGAGGGTGCTGCGGGGCATCATGCTAGCGATGGGTGGGTGGATGGGGGTAGCAGAGCAAGGATGATTGCCGGGTGGTTGCTGGGTGGGATGCAGATACTCTAGCCCCCCAAAAGACAGAGTCACCTCTCCCTGCCCCGAGTGCCTGAGTGTGTCCCTGTGCTCAAATCAGGCAACTTATTGCTGCTTTCCTTAAGGTTACAGGGAGAGGTTACTACAAGAAGTACCTAAAGGCTGTCCTGTCCAAACGCCCTCGGAAGGGCAGGTAAGGATGACACCTTCCCATAGGTCTGCCTGATCAGCGAGCACCTGGGCCAGCCCTGCCTGGCTGCCCACTGCCTGCAACAGGGGCAAAGAGGGTCCCTGCTCCCAAGGGACATGCTTTTCACCCTCTCCTTCCTCCTCCAGCTCCACAAAGATAGAAAAGAGCCTCCTATCAAGGGTCCAGACGTATTTACACTCCTACATCTACACTCCTGAGGAAGGTAGGCTGCGGGCAGGCGCGGGCTGTGCTCTTGGCTGCAGCAGCAGCTTGGCAAACAGGCTGCCTCCCCCTCCCCGGGGAGAGCAAATGCCTTTCTTGGCTCCTTCCCCAAAGCATCTGTGCCATGGCAGCTGCTGCCTGCTGCATGTGCAACGCCTCGGCTTTGCACAAACTGTTGCGGTTTGGGATGGGGAGCTGGACACCCGCCACCATGGGGGCATGGGTGGGCTGAGGCAGTGAGGTTCAGGCATGGATTGTGCTAATATTGCAGCCTGATGCTTGATAAGGGAATAAAATACATGATAAGTGGATAAAATCCCTAACAGCCCAGGAATGGGGAACTACTCCTCGCCCCCTCTGCGCATGCAAGAAGCAGGGGCTGTCCTGGGAGGTGGCACCCCAAGGGACGCGGCTCCCCACACAGCAGGCACCCCGGGACTGCACTCCCACCAACACTGCTGGGAGTTGGTGCTGCGGGTGCACAAGGTTTCACGGCCTTGCGGGAAGGAAGGATCAACAGGAAGGAAATTCATCCAGCTGAAGTATGGAGAAACCTCTCCCAGCTACACATCCTTGCAGGATTTCCTTGGGGAAATCCCAATAAATATTTGATCACCCTGTTCCAGTGCTCTTCCCCAGGGGGTTTGCTTTGGCTGCTGGGTTGGGTGGGCCTGAAGCCTGCTCCACTCTTCCCCCATGATCCCACATCCCAGCTCCTCTCTGATACACCCCTCCAATTCTGCCTTGCAGGTTTCCAGATCCCACTGAAACTTGTCCTGTCCACAACCACGGCCGTGATCGCTGTCTACCAGGTGATCATGATGGTTAAATGCCAAGCAGAGCACCCTCCCTGCCTTCTTAGCTGTGTCCTCTCGAGGCAGAGGAGCCCAGAGGTTATTGCCACACCCCAATTTTGGCTACAGGGATGGTATTAGCATGCCTCAAGGTATTACCATCCCTCAGCTGAGCCGCAGCAACCAGCTATGTACTTACAGGGCTCAGCCAGTCTTAAGTGTTTAAGATAAGGCGATGGCTCAGCAGTGGGATGCTGTGACCCAGGGCTCACGTGGCACCACTCCCTCGCAGGTCGCCCTGCTGCTCCTGGTAGCTGTTGTCCCCACCATCCAGATCGTGCGGGCGGGGATGACAAAGGACATCGTGGTGTTGTTGGTCCAGTTTGGCTTGGTGCCCTCGGAGAGCCCGGCCATCCCGGGTGATATGGAGAAGGAGCTCAACACCGTCAAGTACTACTTGTGGTCCCTGGAAGGTGGGTTCCCAGCCAGGTCCTGCATCCATAAGTGATTTTTGGAGGATTTTTGAACTTATCAGAGAGATTTCTAACCCAGAGGATGGTCCAGGAAACCACTTGGTGATGAGGAAGCTTCCAGGGGGACTTAAAAACCAGCTGCCGAAGCCGCAGCCATGCAGACATGAAAGGCGGCCGCGTGAGCCTGGTGCTGTGCCAGGCATCTCTGAGCGGCCACTGTGTGCCAAGACGGAGAGGCAGGGAGAGCCGGCAGCACCGCGCTGCAGATGCTGCACTTTGGCTGTGGGCTTTGATATGTGCTGGAATCAAGCAGATGGCCCCCGGCCCCCGCGTAATTGAAAGCCCTGGATGGGGACGTGCAGGGAAGGCAGGAGTGCCCCACTCCCTCCACAGCACTACCTTGGGGCACCACCGGCCAAGTGGGACCCTTTTTATGGCTTTTCCAGAGTCAGCAAGCCCCTCTCATCCTCTTTGTTTTCCTGACATCTCCATCCCTCCTTCCCCCCTCTTGCTTTTCCCCCCCAGCATCCCCTTTTGTGAGAGCATCTTCCTAGGGTAGCTCTATCACTGCTTATCATGGCTTGCTCAATGAGTTTTCCAGCGCTGAGCTAGCCTGGCTGCTTGTATTTCCCCTGGCTGCTTGGCTTTCCCCTTCCCTTTCACTGTCTCACCAGCTCATGCCCTCCTGGGAGATGGAGAAGGGATCACAAAGGGAGTAGGGAGGAAAACTGAGGCACAGTGCCCTGCTGAGGGTTACGTCCATGCAGCCCCATAACTCAGCCCTCCACAATGCTCCTGAGATACATACATTTTACAATAAAATCCTGTTGCTGGGGCTGGCTGCAGCCCTGACCTGGCTGTCTCCCCCTGCTCCTCCGCAGTCTGCTACATCTGCTCGCTGGTGCTGTGCTGCCTGCTGACCTGCGCCATGCTCCTAAGGACACTGGTGATGCACAGGTATGGTGTCCTCGCTCCTCTGGCCTTGACCTTGGCACCGAGCGGGGATGCAGCTGGTCTCTCTCCCCAGGAACAACCTGAAGGCGCTGTACCAAGGGGCTGTGCTGGATGTTTTCTACAAAGCCCATATCCTCCGCCCATCCCGACAAGCCATTGTCTGCTGGATGAGCTTTGCCGGCTTCCAGACGGCTTTTGCCTGCCTGGGTAAAGAGGGCTGAGGGGCAGGAGGGGGCAGATGGGTGGTGGACCCCCACCTTACACAGCTTACCCCAGGTTTAAGCATCTCTTCCCCCTTTCTTGCCCCATTTTGCAAAGGGATGGCTGCAAAGCTTTTGCTCCTCTTTCCCCAAACACAATCTGTCCTTCTGTGGAAACAGTGACTCGTTTTGGCTCAAGCCCAAATATTTTGATTTGAGAAGCTGCCACAGCATCTTGTGCAAAGGACTGTCTGTCTCCTCTGGTCCTGGTCATCACATCTCGGGTGCCCCTTGCTGCATGTCTTCCCCAGCACGGCCCGGATCTCCCTGGCTGGGAGGACTGGCCACCCAATGGATGGGTGGAGGATGTCAAAGAGGGCAGAAATCCTCACCCCACCATTTTAAGGCCTCTCTGTCCCATGAGAGGTGACTCTGGGCAGCGTCTGCAGTGATGCATGTGCAACACCCAACCATATCAGCACCGCAGGAGAGTCAAGCTGAGGGTCCAGGGGAGTGATGGAAGGACAGGGGGTACCACCAGGTCTGTTGGGAAAGAGGACCTATTTTGCAGGCAGATTGCGGAGATCAGTGTGGAGGTAGGAGCTGGGGAGCACCAATTCTTTCACCCCTTTGGCAGCAAGGAGGAGCTTTCCTTTGGCCACCCAGTGCTCCGTGCATCCCTGGCAGAACTGGCTGCATCTCGTCATGCTGCCATGAATCTGCCTCCTGCTTAAAAATCTTGGTTTTCAAGTCATTAAAGCAAATCAGTGGAGGTGAAGCACAGGCTCAAGCACAAGGAACCACAGCATCTGCTGATCTCGATGTGATTTATGATTAGAAATCAGAGCTCAGGCTGATTTTTATGATGAGGCATCATAGTTGCAGCCCCCAGTGATGGCTCTTCTCAGCGGGGATAATGTGAGGAGTGATAAGAAAGGCTGAACTTGTAATTAAATCCCGTGCAGAGCATTGTGTTCAGAGCGGGGGAGGCAGGAAAGGATCTCACAGGCTTTTTATGGGATTAAAATGAAAGACATGCTCAGCAACAAGCATGGGTTCGGGGAATAAGAGCAAGAACAAGAACCACTTCTCCATCCTTCCCCACCATGGTTTCTTTCCCCGTGTCTCCCTCCCAGGTCTCCTCATCCAGCAAGTGATTTTCTTCATCTGCTCAGTTGGGTTTACCTTCCTCTTTGTCATCCCACTCCAGTCCGGCACAAACACACACCTCTTCAAAATCATTCAGAACATGTGGTGAGCACTTGCAGCCCTCGGGGAGGGATGGAAGACCCAAGTGGGTGCCCTGTCCATGGGCATGGTGTGTTTTGGGATACTCTGTCAAGGGGAGGCTCTTTCTTGGGCTCTTTCAACTCTGCTGGAGCTTTCTGCTGCCTGGGATGGTGTGTCATGCTTGGGACCCTCCTGGTGTCCAACCTGCCTCTTCCCTCTCACCCAGGCCCTTCTGGCTGACCCTGGTTGTTGCTGTCATCGTGCAAAATTTGGCAGCTCACTACCAATTCCTGGAGCAGCATCCTCTCCGAAAAGAGCTCACCAACAGGTATGGGGATGTGGGGGGCCTTTGGGGCAGAGCTGCCCCTCCCAAGGTCCAGGATCTCAGGACTGTGTTGGGTTTATACATGCCTCTGATGTCGAGGCATCCTCTGTGCCGTGAGCTCAAGGGGGAAAGCCTGTGGGTTTGAGGGGTCTAAGTGGCTCTATGCTCCCAGAGGTATTTCTTTAGCTGCTTTAGAGGGCCATGGTCCATTTACAGCCTTGATTTCAGTGGGGTGAAGCTGGTGAGGTCTGCGCCCTGCTCCACCCTCCCCATTTGCAAGCCTCAGAGGAAGCCCAGATCCCTCAGGATCGGCTGGACTGGTTCAGACACTGCCAGCAGATGTGGTCCCTTGCTCGCGCATGGTATTGCTGCCTAAGCTGTCTCCTTACACTGAAGACCAGGGTGACAGCTCTAGGTGTCCTGCTCTGTCCAGCCAAGGCACTTCCATCACCTCCATCACTTGCCCAGCACTGCAGGGAGGCTGCTGTAGTTCTGCTGACCTCCACAGGAGCTGGTATCTTCCATCCCAAACCACCATACTCAGGATTTGTCTGGTTTCTAAGTCTTCAAGGAGAAATGGAGACCCTAGGCATGCTGGAGGGCAAGTTCTGAAGTTCTGACAGTGCACCAGGTTGTCTCCTCTCCAAGAGCCCTGAAGGGTGTTTGCTTCTCTCCATGGGATGGAGACACCTCAAACAGGGACTGTGTCTGCTGGGGAGGGAGAGAAGGGTGGGAGGCTTATTTTGGCAGGTTCCTCTGGCAGGGAAAGGCTGTGCTTCCCGTCCCGTGGTGTTTGTGTTCCTTACTCCTCCTTCTCCACCCACAGGCGAGCTCTCTACATAGTCACCTACCTGTTCTTCCCCATCAACGTCCTGGTGGGTGTCCTGGCCGGGGTATGGAGGATGGTCATTTCTGGCCTTTATAACTCTGTGAACCGCGGTGTGGAGTCCTTTGACCCTGGTAGGACATTGGGGAGGGTCCCTCTGCAGCACCTCTGTGAGCATGGGAGCCCTTCTCCCACCACCAAGCTCCTGGGGGACATGGTCAGGGGCTCCTGCATCACCTGGAGCTGCTGGGACCGAGGGTGGCTTCAGGTTTTCATACTCTGTGTTCAGAAACAGGCAGGTGGGACAACAGGAGCAAGTGGCTCCTCCTGATGCCCACTTAGTCCTGCTTTTCCATCCATCCCCAAGGGCAGGTGATGCCCTGCTGGGGACCCCTGGGCTTCACCAGTAGCCAGACCCCATTCCCATGGGCAGCGGACCCTCATGTCTCCTGTGCTAAAGGCAGCAGGGAGGGGACTTCAGCCTTTCCTCTGCTTTTTTTCCTGGGATTTTGGGAGCGGAGCTCTTCCCCAGCTCTGATGGCAGAGCAGCTCTGGCAGGGCAGAGATGGAGCTGGGCAAACAACCCTCCTCTTTGCTGAAGGGAAGGGGGAACCATGAAGTCTGGCCCCACCACAGGTATTTACTGTGGGCCATGTTCCCCCAGGCTACCACACTTACTGCCACTATCTGAAAATCGAGGTCAGCCAGTCCCACCCAGTGATGAAAGCCTTTTGCTTGCTGCTTCTCCAGCTAGCCAGGCCGGAGGGGCCACCGGGGCTCCGGGCCAGCAACGTGGAAGAAGGTGAGACCTTCCCACCACCAACCGGGGGGGGATGCACGGCCATCACCATGGGGTGGCATCGGGGTCTCCTCTGCGGGTTTGCTCCTCTAGAGATGTTCTTGGTGCCCTGGGGTAAAGGGACCATTGAGGGCTGTGGTTCTGCTGCTCCCTCTGGTTTTATGTCACCTCCTCTGTTTGGTGTGTGGTCATCTCCATCCCAGGAGCTGCTCCCAGTCCTCTGCCCGTGCAAGGGCAGGATGGGGCTTGGCTGCTTTAACCCCAGGGTGTAGATGGCATCTGGGCAGCCCCAGCGAGGGGGAGCTGAGGCTGAAACCGTTCCCCTCCTCCTGTCTCCTTCCAGGCATCCAGCTAATGCAGCCCAAGAAAGCGCCGCCCAGCAGAGCCAGGTTCAAGCAGAGCCGAGCCCGGTGGTGGCTGGCCTACACACTCCTCAACAACCCCTCGCTGACAGCTTGCCGGAAAACTGCCCTCTCTGACCCCACGGCAAATGGCACCCAGCTCAGCCCCCCCAAGCCCTGACCTCCGGAGAAGCCCCCCACCTCTCTCTGCCTCCCACACACGCTCTCGTCCCATCCCATCCCTGTCTCCCATTGACTCTTCTCCTGTGCTGGCAGGAATTTTGGGCACACCTTGCCCCTCTCCAGCCTCCAGTCCCTCTCCAGCAGTGATGGGGGCTGGTTTTTAGCTCTAGGTCCATGCTGAGCCACTACCAAGGTCCAGAGGTGAAGACACAGCCAAATGGGTCAGCTCCAAGCCTGACCTAGAGGGAGAAGGGTTAATGAGCCAAGCTAAACCCTTCAGGCATTTCAGAAACATCTTCTTAAGAGTCACTCCTGCAATGAGCCCACCAGTTCTCAACTGTTGCCTTTCCAACATGTGGCAAGGCAGGCAGAAGTCCCCAGCACCAGGCCAGTAAGGAAAGAGGGAGAAGGTGTGTGCGTGTGTGGAGGGATCCTCAGCCAGACCGAGCAAGAGGAGCTACCTGCATCTCGGCATGGTCTCCCTGTGGAGAAGGTCCCTGCTGCCAGCCCCATCCCCAGATTCTCCCTTTCAGGTCTGATCCTGGCTCTCCTTGGGTGCTGTACCTAACCCTGGGACTCTTTTTTTCCCCCAATATTGTGAAGCCTGAAATCCCCATCTGCTCTGCTCTGGGTCATGAGGTTGCAGAGACATTTGTTTTCTGTTCCCTATAACTCTTGTCCCCTTGGTGCCTCTTGCTGCCACCTTGTTTTGTTTAAAGCTAGTGGTTCCCCAGGGCCAGTGACCCTCCAAGCAAGATGAGCTTCAATCCATAGAAAGCAGTTTTACATCTCGCTTAGATGTGCTGAGTCGGGGAAGGTTAATAAATCACATACCTCATTCCTATGCTTGGGGTGTGCTTGGTCTCTTGGCCATTCCTGAATAAGCCAGACCTGGCAGGAGGGACACAAAGATTGTCGCAGCCATGTCTCTGGGTGATGGTTGGGACTGACCTTGCTCAGCAGAGGCTTTGTGGTAGGTCTGCTTGACCTGGGGGTGATGGGACCAAATCTGTGATCCCCCTCCCCACCTTAGGCAAATTTTAACGCAAAGCTGATCAGTTTGCTTTCCCATCAAAACGTTTGGCCCCTAAACCACAGCTCCCATGAAGGACAGGAACAGAAACAGGACGTTTTGTGGCTAAAGCACCAAAGGTAGGTATCCAAGGTGTTGCTGGATCACTTCTTCCCACGATGTGTCCCTTGAAAATCCTGCCTTTGGTGGTTGGAAGGATGCCTGGCGTCAGCCCGCCATTGCAGGCAGCGAGCAGGGCTCTTGGTAAGTTGCACTGGTGGCTTCTTACTCTTTCATCTCAAACACCTCCACCTTGCTAAAACAGATGACTTTTTGAGACTTTGCAGCCCACGCTGCATGGACTAGGGCTGCTGTGCCGTCCCCTCTGCTCAATGAGGTCGACATGGTTTGAGCCCCTTGCCCCAGGGATCTCCTTGGAGGTGAGCAGACCTGCTCTTCGCAGGCTTTCAAGGACCCCATGCCCTCTTGCCGGGGTGCTTGCAGCACCGTTGGTGTGGTTTGGGGGTGAGCGAGGCTTAGCCCTGGGTTTTGCCTGGAGTGTCCTGGCATCTCCCCACAACATCGAAGCTTCCTGGCTGGGAGCCAGCCCCCTCCCCAGGAGCCCGACCTGCTCCCTTTCCATCCCAGCAAGAAGAGGGAGGTCCCTTTCATCTGCTGTCTGCAGGCACTGCCCAAACAGCCACCGGGTGCACTTGGATGCTCAAAGCCCTGTTGCATCTGCTGCCCTGACCGACACTGTTTTAATTGTATTTGATTAGTCTGGCACACAGTACAATGTCACCAAACTGGGTGACAGCGGTGGCACCAGAGGCAGATCTGGATTGTTTTCTTTTTAAGACAGCAGGAGCCCAAGGTGTGATTTCTGCTGCTTTCCCAGCTCTGGGCTTTACATGCTTGGGTTTGCATGTCTGAGCACAGGAGAGATTCAGTGCTGGTGGGTGCTGAGTGTCCTGTGCATATCAGGTGAAGGGATGCCCTAAAGCAAAGGCTGTGCCTTTCCCTTGCAGCCCATCCCAACACATCTCCAGCCTCCCAGGCCCTGGGGCTTTGAAGGCAGCCTTGGTAATCCCTGAAATCTTTCGCAGCTCTGGGCCATGGGTGGAGCTGGATTTCGGCATCTGTTTGCACAGCCCTGCCCGAGGCTTCCTGGAGATGTCTTGGCAAGCAGCGGGCTGGGGCCGAGGTGAGAGATGACAGCCGTGGGAGGAAGACAGGAGGTGGCTTCATTGATTTGTTTGTTTTCTTTCCCTTCTTTGACATAACCAGGGTGCCCTGGGGATGAACTGAGCTCCTCTTCCTAACGGTGCCTTCTCACCTCCTCTCTAAACCCCCAACGTCAGTAGAGCCATGGGATAGCTCTGCCCCTGCGCATCCACAGTCCTCTCCACCCAACCCTGAACTGATGGGGAGTAGGTTCAAGGAGCTGATCTGGCTGAAAACCACCCTTAAAAAAAAAAAAATGCCCATGGGGGGATTCAGGTCTGGGGTCTGGTGTTTTTTTGCAAACGTGAGGGACAGAGAGGAGCTGATGGCAGGCTGAGGCATCCCAGCCCTGGCTGGCACCCAACCCTGAACTGATGGGGAGTAGGTTCAAGGAGCTGATCTGGCTGAAAACCACCCTTAAAAAAAAAAAATGCCCATGTGAGGAATTCAGGTCTGGGTCATGCTGTGTTTTTGCAAACGTGAGGGACAGAGAGGAGCTGATGGCAGGCTGAGGCATCCCAGCCCTGGCTGGTGGTCGTGGTGGGTTGGGGTAGTGATGCCAAGTGTGGCATCACCTGCAGCATCCAACTCAGGAGCTGTGTGGCAGGGTGCCCTGTTTGGTACGAATGAGAGGTGCTTTATATCGCTAATAACTTGACATAAAAGCTATGAGTAAACTCGGCGAATGCGGAAGAATTCACCTTTCTGGCAACAAAACAGCCACACACCAGCAAAGCTGGGGGCAGCAGCAGCTCTGCAAGGTGAGCAGAGATTTTCAGGCATGGCTTAGGGCTGCCAGGAGCCTAACTCTTATTTTTTATCCTTATCCCAGGCTCCAAACCCTGTTCCCAGCCAAGGCTGCAGGAAAAAGCTCCCGTATCCCCCTATTCCCAGGCAGGCAGGGAGGGGAGGACCCCAGCTGGGATAAAATTGATGTTAAAAGTTGTATCCTATGAAATGAAACTGAAACTCTCACTGGGGCCACGATGTTTTTCATCCTTTCTGCCTGTAATGGGAAAAATATGCGCCTGCTTGTTAGCATCAAAGGCCGTTCATGCAAGCAGCCGCTGGCTGTTTGTGGGCTGTTTCTGCCTCAGGATCCCCGCAGAGACCTCGGCGCTGTACCCGGATGGTGTTGGTGTGTGGCAGCTCCTCCACTGCCCCTTTCCTTACCCTGTGAGCTGGCTGGACACCGAATCATGGGGCTGGAGAGCGTGTGTGGAGGCTTGAGGCTCTGGGACTGCTGCTTTTTAGCTAGTTTTGGCGTTGCTGCCTTCCCCTGACTGCTGCAGGCGGCGATGGGGGGAGTTTTGGGTACTGTATAAATGCATCCTCCCTCCAGGGTCATCATGGGGGGATGCTACAGTGTGGGAAGGGCTTTGGGGAAGCTGGGGGGAAAAGGGGGTTGGTGATGAGTTATGGTACCCCAGATGATGTTGGGTCTGGGGGATTTCAGGGTGCACAGAGGCAGCACGCACCAGCTTGTTTAAAAAAAAAAAAGAAAAATGGTATTTATTGCTCTTGGGACTTCGCTGTCCATACAGCTTCGGTTATAAGGCGAGGGTGGCTGCAGGGGTCTGTCCAGCTCCCGCAGGCGAGCACTGGCAGAAGGCAGGAGAGCCGGACGACCTGTGCCTCAGGGTGGGGGAGATGGAGATGCTCAGCCCCCCCACCATGAGACAAGGGGTCCTCCAGTACCCTAGGGCAGCGGGGTATGGTATATATGTCCCATGTGGGAATACTAAAGCACTTAAAGAAAATTGTGTTTATGGCTTATAGGTCAGCTCAGCGTCTTTCTCTTGTGTCTGGATTTTCCCAATCTTTCTTCCTCCCACTCCATCATACAGCCCCCGCTCAGTTTCCCATCAGACAGGGGTGCTGGGAAATTATTTTGGTCTCTTTGGGCTCAATCCTTCCCCACCAGGGTCGGAGCCAGAGCAGTGCAGCTCGGTGGGTCCAGCCCAGACGAGCGTTTTGTACTGCAGGCTTCAGCGGTGAAAGGGAAGGGGGGAGGAAATCAGCTGCACAGCGTCTGGGAGAGGTACTGAGGGTGGCAGAGCCTGATCCTGTGACGTGCAGGGAGGGTGCAGGCACCCTGGGTGCTCCCAGCACCCAGCCAGCAGGAGCCTTTTGTGCTCCTACAGGGATGAAGCCTGTGAGAAAGTTTCTCCTGCTCCACAAAATGGCCGGATCCAAGCCCAGGGCCCCATCCTATGTGTCCTACCATACCTGTCCTGCTTACAAAGCACCATCATATCTCTGTCCCCCAGAGCCATGTGTTCTGGGACCCCAGAACCCTGTGCCCAGGCTATTCCCCCATTCTCAGACTGGTCCTTCTGCTCCTGGTGCTTCATGTGAGGTTGCTGGTAGAAAGGATGCGCCTGGCCGGCCAAGGGCCCAAGCGCTGGTCATGGCGGGGATGTAATCTTTGGTGCTGCTGGACTGATAGGATCTTCTTTGCAAGAGATCCCCTCCCTGGTTGTGGCTGGCTACTGCAGGTGGAGGAGGGCTCGTGGTGGGCTCTGAGGACGGGTGATGGTCACCCTGTTGACGGTGGACTTCAGTCCCGCAGCTGCACTTTGGTCTCAGAAGGGAGATAAGTCAGGAGGTGGCAGATTTGGACGCCTGGAAAGCGGCAGCACGGTGTGGATCTGCTCTACATCACCTGAGCTTGTTTGAAGCTGTCAACTAATGGAGCCCAGACCTGACTCCCATCTAAGGAGGGGTTGAACTACTAGCCCTGGGCTTGAGTCTTGGCCCCCATTGACTCCTGACCGCTTGCAGTTCCCAGAAGCTCAGCAAAGGCATGGCACTACGTGAAGATAAATGCTACAGAAAGAGGGGGAACCTCCAAGGCACTGTTTCCTTCTCTCCCCTTTAACAGCAGAGCACAATGCCCAAAGCCAGCAGGAGGGTCCCCAGATGGACCTCGGGCACCGCTCCTCCAGCCCTGCTCTTTGACTCCCTCGGCATGTGGTAAACAATCACCAACTTTTCCCCAGCTCCAGAGGGATCCATTTCATCCCCCTTGTAGCAGCTCCGACCTCCGAGGTGGCTGGCTTGGGGGTCATCTCGGAGTAGGTCTTCAGCTGGATTCTCTGACCCAGCCAAGGCCACGTTGACTGACACATCCCGCGTGCCCACATCATTGACAGCGAGGCAGGTGTAGATGCCTTCATCCTCTTTGCTGAAGTTGGGGATGGCCATGGTGCCATTCTTGAAGACCAAGAAGCGCTCCTGGCTCTGCTTGACATTTCCATCCCGCGCCACGTTGGGCCCATTGATCTCAACATGGCGGCTGGAGGTCTGGATCTTCCACCTGATCTCTGGTGGAGGGCTGCCCGCCACGCTGCAGTGCAGGGTCAGGGTGAGGCCATCGTACATGACGGTGTTGTCCAGGTTGGAGAGGTAGGTGAGCTGCACGGAGGGAGCAACACAATGGTGGTCAGGGATGTCCGTCACTGCCCTGCCCTTCAGCCTGCTGGGAGCCACGCACAGGGTAGACCCCCCCTTGGTGATGGAGACGGAGGTGTTCTCGGTCCACTTCTTCAGCCAGAAGACCTTGCAGGAGCAGTTGAAGGGGTTGTTGAAGATCTGCAGCTGGGACAGGGAGGGCAGATTGTCAAAGGTGCCCTCAGCCAGGGTGGTCAACTCATTGTCATTGAGCCAGAGGGAGCGCAGGTCCTTCAAGGAGCGGAAAGCGTCCCGGGGCAGCCCGGCCAAGCGGTTGTTGTTCATCTTCAGGATCTGCAGACTGCTGAGGTTACTGAGGTCCTGCCAGGGGAAATCCGCAATCTTGTTGTGGCTCAGGTCCAGGTTCTTCAGGTGCACTAACAAGGCAAAAGTCCCCAGTTCCACCAGCCCGATCTGGTTGTAGCCCAACCACAGCGACTGCACTTCAGGAACCTCAGCAAAGGAGCCCTGTCCCAACCAGCCGATCCTGTTGGCCGACAAGGTGAGGATGGTGACGTTGGAGGACAACCCCTTGGGTACCTCCTGAAGATCCTTGTAGGCGCACTCAGCCAACAGCCGCCCGTTCTTCTTGATGGAGCAGGAGCAGGCACTGGGACAAGCCAGGCAGGGCCCCAGGAGCGTGGCCAGCCCCAGGCAGCAGAGAAGGGGCCTCATCCTTCCTCCTGGGAACAGAGACGGAGGGGAATGAACGGGACGGGTCTAGCCAAGATGGGGATCTGCTTTTTCTTGCCAAGTACTAAGAGGAAGCAGCAGAAGAGCGAAGCATCCATGTGATTATCCCCAGAACTTCATCTGGAAAAGGCTGTTTGAAATATTCCTTAATCTGAAGAAGGCACTTCCTCGCCAAAAGCAGAGCCTTCGACTACCTACATGAGCAGGGAACTTACCCCTAAACCCTTTCCTTCCCCCATTAGAAAATGCCTCTTTTTGATCTTTGATGAAATACCAATGCTCTGGGATGCTGTTTTCCCAGGTTTTGGGATGAAAAGTGGGAGCTGGGGTTTCAGAGTTCACCCTGCTGAGGCTGGAATTAGGGGAAATGGAGGAACCGCAGCTCTTTCACAACCAGCCTTCCCCTAAACCATCAAGTTGTTGGGATTTTCAGCATGCTTTCAGACCTCAAACCAACCCCCCATCTCCATATTTTTTCATGTCATGGAAAAAACCAGCTTCTCAAGTGCTTTTTCTCAGCAAGAGAATGTGGGGTCCCTGGTTGCTGGAAGTCTTTAGAGAGAAATATTTCTGAGCTAACTCCTTACTCCCCTTCTTGCCTTGCAAAGGGGACTGTGCACGCTTGGTTCCCAGCGTCTGGAAGCTGTGTCCCACCAGGGAAGAGGTTAACTGCGGCTCTGCGAGGAGCTGGCAGCGAGACCCCTTTGTCTCTGCCTTGTCGGCAAGTTTTGCTGCTCCTTCCAGTCCCCAGCCCTGTCATTTAGAGCAGGAGGGGGGAGACATTTTATTGGCAATGGAAAGACTGAATAAGACCTGCACAACAGCTTGGGGGGGGGGGGGCAAAAAGGGACATAAAGGGTCCTGTCCTGCAGGGATAGACCACCCCAGGGCTGGGGTTCAAGGGACGGGGAAGGAGCCCCGAGGGCTCTGGGGGTGATGGAGGGGTGAGAGCCCAGCAGTGCGGGGGCGGGTGGATGTTCCCCTTGGCTGATGCGTGTAAAGCCCCTGGCTGGTGTCATTTTGGGGTGGCCCGTATCTGTCCCAGCCCAGCCTGCCCGGCAAGGTGTTGGTTCCGGCTTGCAGGGGTAGATCCCCATCACCCCGACCGATGCGCTGCGGGATGCAGGGGGAGCAGGGCCGGGGGCTCACCCCCGGGGCAGCACCGGGGACGGGAGCGGGTCCCGCGCCGCTCGAGCTCCCGGAGCACCCCTCCGCCTCGGCTCCCTCCCATCCCAACGCCCCCCTCCACC